CGATTGGACACTCCAATCATCATCAGTATGTCATCAATGTCATCATCATCAATAGGCGAACATTCGCCTACTGGGTCTGATGATGATTGGAGTGTCCAATCAAAATCGATCACCACTTAACATCTTTTGTATATTTACCGTCTTGTGAGTAACAGTATAAGCGTAAATATATGTTTTAAGTGTTATAAGACGTATCTTTATTTACTTTCCGTATAAATACTTGTAAGATTTCAAACGAAAAACGTGGGGTGCATGCAATTGATAATAATAAATTAGTTCAATAGGTGTTGGTAATTGTAAATTATTGTTGTAATAAACTGATTTTATTAGTAGGATAAAAGAAATGTAAGAACTGTTAGAGAACCATTTAAAATACTAATAGTTTGTTTTCATAACAACTTAAACATAACAAACATTACAATAATAAGAATGTCATATACAGCTGTAACTGACTGAGTAAATCATTTTTTATCTCAACACTTCCCCTAAAAAATGACACTTTACTCAGACAAGAAAACTGCTGCTCATGTATCCTTACATCTTGAAGTATTCTCTTGAGCCACACTGCTTCCCCTACAGCGAAACTTGCAGCAATCTGCAGAAATCAACTCAAATTCTGTAGTTGACAAAGCTACACATTTCTGACGTTTACTACACCAGAACACTGGACTAAGCACCTTTATTTCCTCATCCATCTCCTTGACCCAATGATGAGAATCCTTGCATGTCACCGCTTCCTTGCACTTAGTAGGTTCTGCAACACATGTCAGAAGGGCACAATCAGCAGGTTTCACAGGAGGCTTCAATTTTGATCTGTCTCTGAAACTGTACCTCTGTCCTTCTTCGTCTGGTAAACTTGCAGTTGTTGAAGAGTTGGTTTCAGTTGTAGAAAACTTGTTGTTTTGTTCCACAGGCTCCCTGAAGTCAACAAAATATCGATTGCCACCAACTGATAACACAGGCATTGAGCCACAAACATCAGCATTTATGCAATCACCAGGTTGATTAACAAGTTCTTTGCGAGTACCAAAACTCAACCAATGCATCTTGCCAACAATACAAGCGTCACATATCTCAGACTTAGTACCTGAATTTGTAAATTCAATACCATTGTTCTTCAGGTATGTCAAAACATATCGCTTGTTTTGATGCCCTAATCTATCATGCCACAGTTGTAAATCATCTCTCAGAGCAACTTGAGCTTCAGCTTCTGTAATACTAATAACTTTCATATTCATAATGAAAAGTCCATTCTTTCTATGTGATTGAAATGAAATGTGTTTATTGTCTTGTGAATTTATACAAATTATTGACAATGTCTGAAAAACTGCTAAAACTAGCATAGTCAGTTAATGAATACAATATACAATATTTACAAGAATACTACACACAAGGAGACATGTTACAATACATACTTTAATATTACAACCAAATAATCTTATTGTTCAGAAAAATGCAAGGCATTTAGAATAATGAAAGTTATTAAACCCCATAACCAACTAAATCCAACAGTAATTTGATAAATTTGCTAGCTCTACTTAAAAATTAATAAAAGGCATTTCAAAAAAATCTTTTAGAGAATAAAAAGGGTTGTTCAAAAGCCATTTGTAGAATTTAGATTTAAAAGTTTTATTAGGATATTTTGTTATTAAATGTATTAGCTTGTTGTATATTTTTAGTGAGATTACAATATGACTTTTAAGAGTTTTAGACAGTCTAAAAAAATCTATGGTAGCAACGTTTTTATTCCTTGTATTATGAACATGAGAATTTTGTTTGATGAGGTTGGGATTTTGTAGAATATATGATACAGAGTCAAATATATAAATGTTAATTACTGTTGGAATTTGTAGCTGAATGAACAGGGGTTTACAGTGTTCCTGTTGGGGTTCACAAGATATGATTCTAACTAACTTCTTTTGTAAGACTAAAATTTCCTCTATCCTACTGCAATTTCCGTAAAAGATAATATTGTATCTGAAAATGGATTGGAAATAAGCAAAGCCCCAGATCTGACATATGAACAAACATTAGCAGTTGTCCGTTGGTGTACTAAATTACTTAAATTCTTTCCATGACTGTCAGCAAGTATGACAAGTTTCAATGGATGAATTACACCAGACGGTAATTTTACTGAGGTGTGTCTATTTGAACTACGCCTAGGCTTCTGTTTCTTATTGGTGATGTTACTTGTGTAATTTTTTTTCTTACTAGGTAGAAGATCCCCATTGGATTGTTCATCATTGAAAGTGTCAGAAGATAAAATTTCAAAAGAATTTTCACAAGGTATAATAAAATTGTGAGCTGGTGAAGATGATATTAAGTTATTACCGTTGACAAAAATACTCTCTTGAGGCTCAGACGGATTTTTGGTTAGTAAGTTTTTTGTTGATCTAGTTGGAGTTACTCGCTGTCGTGTTTTAGCAGAAGGTGATGTTTGTAGGAACGTAGGAGTGCCAAGAGGTGGAAAACAACGTAAACATGGAGATTTTTGTGATTCTATTTGACTTAACTTATCAGTTTTAGCTTTATTTTCTTTTTCAAGACATTTAATTATAGTTTCTAATGTCCTCATGGATTCCAGCATTTTTTTAGTCTCTTCTTTATATATAGTGCATGCTTTGCATGGTTTATGATTGAGCAACCAAAACACCATTCTTGAAGAAATTACATTTGTCCTTGCTGAAAGTAGAAATTATACCTTTGTCCAACGTAGAGGAAATAGAAAATAAGTTCTTGACTACTTCAGGAACATACCAAACATCTTCCAAATGATTTCTCTGGCATTTTCCTCCCACAATCATCTCTACAATTATGTTTCCCTTGCCGAGTGCTTCCATGGTTTGACCATTTCCAACTCCAACATGCTTAACTGTTGAAAATGCCTCGTACGTCACAAACCATGATCTGTTCATTGTCATGTGCTTCGTAGCTCCAGAATCTGCAATCCAATTACATTCTTCGATGCATTCTTGTGAGCGACCACAATGTCCAACAAAAGCACTTCCAGGTTTTAGTGACAGTTTGGCATTAGGACAATCCCTCTTCATGTGACCAAGCTGGTTACATGAAAAGCATTTAGGTCTCCATTTCTTTTTCTTATTTTCAGCTCCAACATCATTGGTAATTGTTGATTTCACACGGTTAGAGTTAGGTTGTGAGAAAGATTTATGTTTTGAACCAGTGTAAAATGCAGCATTAGACTCCTTTACACCTCCAACTTCTCGCTCCTTCATTCTCATTTCAACCGTACACAGTCTCTCTCTCAATAATGACAGTGTCCTCAGATCCTTCGGTACAGACTCCCAAGCGTTAATGAATTCACTATATTCACAGGGCAACGTATTCAACACCCTATTTAGGAATAATGAATCAGGAAGCTTAACTTTATCTTCTTTCCAAGTTTCGTCCTGTAGCTCAACCCAAAGTTTTTCCAGCTTTGCTATGTGTTTCGCTACATTGTCATGTGAGTCCTTTTCCTTAATTCCAAAGAATTCATTAAACAGACGGTCTTGTCTCTGTCCAGTTCTCTGTTCAAAAATACTCAAAAGTTTCCCCCACATTTCCTGTGCAGTTGAACACATATTTATAAGCTGTCTTACTTGACTGCTAACAGATGAAACAATGATATTCTGTGCCGAAAATTCTTTCTTTTCAAGTACAGCAACCTGTTTCTGATATTTGTCCATCTTTGAAGCATCTTCATCATCACCTGGTTTCTCAGGGTATACAAGCTTTCCTTCAACAGCTTCCATTACACCATGAACTCGAAACTGTATGACTACTTGAAATTTCCAATCTATCCAATTGGATTGACCCTCCAGTTTATCAACTACATAAACCTTGGAAATTTCCATGGTAGACAAAACACTTGAAGACAACTGAACAAGATTTTTCAAAAAGACAAACAACAACCAATCACAGGTTCTTTCACATATATCCTACTAACAAATCCATAAACACAGTTATTTGCGAGTCTGGGCCACCATAACCTGTTGTAATAAACTGATTTTATTAGTAGGATAAAAGAAATGTAAGAACTGTTAGAGAACCATTTAAAAGACTAATAGTTTGTTTTCATAACAACTTAAACATAACAAACATTACAATAATAAGAATGTCATATACAGCTGTAACTGACTGAGTAAATCATTTTTTATCTCAACAATTATCTATTGCATGCACCCCACGTATTTTGTTTTAAATCTTACAAGTATTTATACTCTCCACATTTATAAATTAATTTCTACTTTTTAGTGTGTTAAAAAACGTTTTGTTTTAAATATGTTTTTATTTATAAATTATTTCTTACTAAACTACAGTATTAACATTTAACAACAAAAAACACTTTTTTACCCTCCCTGTTGCAGCAAACCTAAGTTCTCGCTAAACTAATTCTATTTAAATAGGGAATTAATGTGATATTTTTAAGGAGATATTTTAGTGTTGATCCAATCAAGCAAATGGAAATTCGCTAAGTCTGCAGGTTTGCTGCGGCGGGGGTATTTGGGTCTTGAGTGTCTTTTTTTACTGAAATTACAAATATTTGCTGATTAAAACCTATTAAACTGATTGACTAAAACTATCATGTAGAATGGATTAAAATGTAAGTACTAGTATTTAATTATGTCCCCTTTGATAAACATCATACAAATACCTATATCCTTGAGTGTGGCAGATTGCATGAAAATAATAATAATATATATGGTTCTTACCGTCTATGCAATCAGATGGTGATACTCAATACGAAAACACGAATATGTTAATAAATGTCTTCGTGTATTCGTGTGTCCGTCCTGTTTTGTGTACTATTTATTCAACCCTGACGCAATGTAAATGAAGACTTTTCGTGTTAAATATGACAAGACTATAGTTTAGTGTTCCACTACGCACCTGACGATGGAGCTATCTCCGAAACGGCCGTAGTGGAGTATGAACCCTGATTGCGTAGACGAAGAACCATATATATTATTAAAATACCTATACCGGTAGTCAATTACCTTGCGCCACCAGATATTGCGTAACCTTTGAAGCCGGTAAAAATATTGTTGGCTTCTTTTTGGATCAATAAACTTTAAACATCTGTAGAGGTTTGTTTTTGATTGATGATAAAGCCTCCTGCTTTGGGCTTCTCTTCCACTTTTAGGAAGTGGTACGTCTCTTAACATAAATACAAGACCAAAAGGTAATTTTTTACTGCCGAGTTGAAGATGCTGACGGAAAGAGGAATAACAATCTGTAACAAACAAAAATATTAATAAAGTAGGAAATGAACAGAACAATAACTCATACAAATAGTATAATCATTTTGAAAAAAAAATTGTATTTTATAAACAATTCAATACATTTTTTAAGAAGTTAAAATAACAATCAAGATGTCTTTAGTTACGTAAATAATTTATAATTATAAATATATACGCGGTAAATAAATATTGAGTAAAATAATTATTGAGTTTTCATAGCACCTTATTGAAGGTTGCAAGTTAGGATACAAAATAACATGAAATATCTATCTTCCTGCAGTCGGCAAACAAAAAAACCTATGTTAGATAGTTTTAATAGATAAAAAGAAGCGGAGTTGAAACGATATCAATACAAGAGCAACAATGGTTGACAAATTCTTAACAGCAAATATATGTTAACAGCTTACCATCTTGCCATTTGGTATTGAGGTTACCACTGAGGATGGAAACATTGTTATTTGACTGGGTAACAATATCGTTTTGCCATTCCCTCCTTATATTATTTGCTAAAAGCTGTGACATTGGTCCAAAGATAACTTCATTCTTGTCAATTTGTACAAATCCATAGTCACTTACAACATTTAAAAATTTTTTTAATGTCTCTTTCATACCTAAAATCACATATTATTTATTTAAAACTATCAAAGCCGCAATATCAAAATGTTTTTTTCTCACAGCTTACAGATGTTTAGATGCAAGCACTATTCTTTGCGACTTGAGCTATTTATCTGTTTGTTAATACATTTTACTGTGTCACTATACTCAGTTGAGCTAGGCCTAACCTCTGAACAGTTGGTTGATTATTTCCAAAGCCCAAACTGTTGTAGCTTGAGTTACGGCCGTTTCGAAGCTGTAGACGAAGGTAAATACCTATTTTTAATTAATATCACAGCTCAGGGGCTAAAAATGGATTTTAATTTCCAGAGCGGGATTAGTACATTAAATTTTGTATTTTACAAAATGGATAAGAAAGTTGAGTAGAAGTTTATGTACCATTTTATTGTCATTTCAACCAGCATTATTATTTAATAGTTTTCGTTACCTGGAATCTTAATATTTGTACGTTCATTCCTTAACAACTTAAACCTACAAATATTTTTTAGCGCATTTCCCATATAGGGAATAAGCTATTACCGTAGTACTCATGGTAAGACCTGGACCCGGGACCAATTTACTTTTTCGTTTTGAGGTCCCAAGAAGCCAAAAACACCATCCGTTCAAATTCATATATATATATACTAGCAGAGTACCCGACCTTCGTACGGGAGTGGCATATAAGTATAAAATGCTTAGTACAGTTATACTCAAGCTTAGCGTTTGCAATGAGGGAGGACAAAGTATGATAAAATTTGCTTCTTTAAATTTACGGTATACTATAGTATTACACATCTACCATAGCCATAATGTTCTACCACTTCACCCAAACAATAGAAAAAAATAAATTATTAAAGATTCACAAAATATCACAAATTATTCGTGAAATTAAAAACATAAACATAACTGTAAACAGACAGTTCTCATTGTGTATCACAGTTTTTTGTTGCTGCTTAGTTCAAATTAGCTGTTTTCATAAATGAAAAAAAATAATAGTGCTGCATCCTGTTGGTAAATCTTATAACTTTTAATGCCTTTGCATATCATAGAACCAACCTTTTTAGTTGAAACAGCTGACTAAATTCTTTAATTCTATTTAAATATGAGTACTCATAAGGTTAACATGGGAAACTCTAGAGCCACTGGGGCGGAGCCCGAAAGGATTTTTGAGATAAAAATATGCCTATATGTTAATCGGGAATGTGAGCTATCATCATGCCAAATTTGAGCCCAATCCATCCAGTAATTAATGCGTGATTGAACTTCAAACACACAAACAAACACACAAACTTTCACATTTATAATATTAGTAAGATAAGATATATGTGTCCGTTAGCACGATAACTCGAGCAAAAATGATCCGATTTTGATGAAATTTGGTACAAACATGTAAACCTACATTTATTTGAGTTCGCAAATCAGCATGATCAGATTATGGGAACAGGGGTTTATGGGGGGTTTTATGGGGTAAAAATAGGTTTTCCCCATTTTTTACCTAAAAACACAAAATTCCACAATTTCTTTCCAAACCATTTTGTAGAGCTCAAAAAAACAAATAATGTAGTATATCGAAGCGTTATTATGCGCCTAATGGTTGCGGAGAAATTTGTAAATTTAAAATTCCCACGTTATTCTTATGGAGAATAAGTCAACTGTTGTAGTTTGCTTGTTTATGAACAAATTTTGTTTGAATTTGGAAAATACATTCAATTCTTACTAAACTATTAAGATTTTACAACAAAAAACACTTTTTACCCCCCCCCCCCCCTCCCCCCTGTTGCAGCAAACCTAAGTACTCGTAAAACTAATTATATTTAAATAGGGAATAAAATGTTATATTTTTAAGGAAACATTTTAATTTTAATCCAATCAGGCGGATGGAAATTCGCCAAGTCTGCAGGTTTGCTGCGGCGGGGGTATTTTATTTTTACAAACATGTTTATTCCTCTAAAAATAATCTAAGAATAGACTTGAATGATACTTTCGACTGCATATATTGTTTGTAGTATGAACTTTTTTGTAGTACCGAGTTTGAGATTTTTTTTATGTAACTATCTGGGTAAGTGTCATAGTATTTTTTAGACTGCATATTGAGAATATTTTGTTAGAGATAAATTATATGGTTTTGTTGCTGAGTAGCGCTAGTAAACATACACAACTCTTTTTATTAGTCTAATAACATTCAAAGGCTCTCTTGGAGTTTAAGTTCTTATTTGTTTATCCATATTATGTTTTCACTAAGCTGAATGAATACACTGATTGAAGTAATGTCTATGAAAAAACTGCAGTATGATGCAATAGGCTCATTCTAGCTTAATTTACCAACCTATGGACACAACTCAAATCGGCAACGTGCCCTAATGCACTTGTATAATTTTGTATTGTATTACACAATCAAAAGTTGTTTGATGATCAAAAACATGTTTGGCAATAATCTCATGAACCTATGATGATCCGCCTTGAATAGTATGATAATATATAGGCAAAGGTGGTCAAAAAGGCAGAAACCAATCCATACAATAGATATAAGTTAACTCAATAAGAAATCAATTATAAAATCTGAAAAAACATTGCAAATACTTCATTTTGACAAATTCAGTAAATCCCTATGACATATTGTTTGAAATACAATTTAAATATTAACCTGTCCGTTCATTAAAAAGATGAGTAAAATTTTCCCTAGGTCATAATTTAAACAATTCTGGGGAGGGAAATGGGGCAGAGCCCCAAGGGAATTTACCTTGTTTCTCTTTTGATAGCTCATCTACAAACCAAGATTTACTTTAGACTGTGTTTCTACGCCCAGCCAGTCTGTGACGCATAGCGGCACGCTATATTTCTTATAGTGTCAGCGCTTCGTGTGGCAGGGCTGCATGGCGAACTCGTCAGCCCACCGCGAGCAAGCGAACGGCTCCCCCCACCGACCTTTCCCAACCTTCTTCCCACTTCACCGCCAACGACTATCAAGAATTCCCACAGAAGAGCTGCTCGCCCTGAAAAATCTATTAAATGGCTAAGTTACTAGAATAATTATATATTATATACTAGGTTAATATGTCAGGCTAGTTAGCAACAAGGGGGGAGACCTACAAGGGTCGTCCGACATTAGAAATGTAGGAATTAGGAAATTTACTGGTCGAGCCCTTCAGGCTCGGACCATTTTCAACATGATTAGGGCAACACGTTTTCCCCAGAAGTTTCCATAGTCCTTTTCAATAATTGTTAGGCATTTCCTATTTAAGTAGTTCAATCACCAGTCAATCATTTCATTAATAGTCATTTCCTCGGTCACAAGTTTTGGAAGGATAGTTTTTAGTAAATTAGTTGTGTTAGCATAAATCAAAGCTGGCTATGCAAGCTTCCGGTCTGGGTAAAAGATCTCCGTCCTCTGGTCCCCAACACGCCTTTCATTAATAATTTGGTAGCAGAATCAGCACGCTTAATTTAGTCTTACACCTCCAATCAATCACTAGTAATCAGTTACCCCCCAACGGCTACAATTCTCTCAAATTAGTAGAAACAAAGAAAAAAAGTGTTCAATGAAATCTATAGATGATTGTATTTATTCCTTTCTTTATTCATGTTTATTCGTACCTTAGAGTTGAAACTACAGTAGTAGTTGATTAGCAATTAGTTAGCAATCAGAGTTAGCAATTAGTAACATTATGAGGCGGTTTGGGAGCTCGAGCCCAGCTATTACTCGCCTAGTGTTAAGACGTGCCTAACTTTAGTCCCCGGACCAAAAACCAGGCTTGGGAGCTCGCGCCTAAGTTGAAATGTTCGTAGATCAAGTATAGTCGCGACTAAGTTGCAGCGCGTCTAGATGGACAGGGAATCGCGGGGAATTCAGGTTTTGACGTTGGCAACGGCCACTGCAGAACACGTTACCGCTGACAACAACAAAATATGAACAATTGAAGATGTGTACAATTTTATCTTGGTATATCAATGGTGGCTAATTAGTAGACTATGGTGTAAGTTTCTGCATTGTACCATTGCAAAAATGTAGTTTTGTAAGATCGTTGTTTTACATCCCAATGACTGAAGAACCGTAATTCTTTATATTAAATTCTTTTAAGATCTAACTTTATTTTCACTTTACAATTTAATCAGTTGTCTTTAACTACACCTTATAAATACGTACAGAGCAACATAGGATTCTGAAAATCAATATGATTTCTTTCAGAGATCAAAAACATTAGGTAATCATTTAACAAAAATTACCCTGTGTGTGGAACGGTAACATCTGAAACTCGGTTTCATGCAATAAAAAGCTTCAAAATTAAACAGTAATTTCCCACTATAATATCTAGGGGTATTGACGGAAAGAAAAAAATGAAAAGTATTTTAAGTAATTGCGGAGGTTATGATTGTGTGAAGCCAAGGTAAATGTAAAATATATCTTTTAATACTTAATCAATTTAAAAAATGTTAAACATGACACTCTTTTATCTAATTTTCATAGGGAAGTATCTATTACTGTAGGTAGCACTTAGTTCTGGGACCGATATACTTTTCAATTTTGATGTCCCTAGAGGCCAAAAACACTATTCGTTCAAATTTATATATATATATATATATATATATATATAATATATATATATATATATATATAATATATATATTTAATATATTATATATACGTACATGAACGTTTTTCTGATTTTGATAATATTTTGCATCAAAGTGTAAGGCGCGATACGCCTTAATGAGTTTTCGAACCAGCATGATCAGACCATGGAAACCCGGGGTTTTTATGGTAGGCCTATAAAAATATTATTTTTTTCTCAATTTTAACCCCTATAACATAAATCTTTATCTTTAAAATATTTTAAAGAGCATTTTAGAGCATTTTAAAAAACAAATTCGTATCTTAAAATGTTTTGTACGGTTATTGGCAACAGAGACTATTCAGAAAATTGTAAATTTAAAATTCCCATGTGATTCTTATGGAGAATAAGTTAACTGTTGTAGTGTGGTCGTTTATGGATATATTTTGATGAAACTTGGC